TTTAGAGGACACGTTTTTGCTTATTATTGCATATGCAGAACGAACTTCTTATCAAATTAAGAATTTAATTAAAAAAAGGATTCCAACCTTTTTTCTATACACCAAAGGAGGATAGTAATCACCGTCACTATAATTACAAATATTTGTGTTCCAGTCCATGGGTCCTTCGACGACCTAATAGGATGAATTATCGAAGAATTTTTCGTTGGCTCATAATTCCAAAGAAGTAAGAGCCATATCAAAAGGTCGATAATGATACACAAAGGAATTGCAATAAAGAACCATTGAATCCACGTAGGAGGAGATCGTTCCATGATGCCAATTGCGATAATATTTTGAGGAGATGAGATGGGGGATGCCATGCCTCCAACGTTCGAAGCTAGGGCGATCCCAAGAATTAAACAACGTCCAAAATTACTATTAGGCGGTAAGGGTCTGAGGATTGGCTATGATAATCATTTGAATCAAAAAATCAATTTTTAGAAAATATTTCTAGAGCTCGATGTTTATTTCATACATACTTGAATAAGTGACAGACATAACACTGGTGCCGCAACGTTGCTTATCCACATACTTGCAAAAGTGGCGACGAACATATTTGCCAAAAGCACAAATCTAGGTTTCGTCCCAGCTTTAGACAACACAAAAGTTGCCATCATTTTTGCTATATGATATTTGCTTAATGCACCCGCAATAGCAAAACCTCCCAAAAGCAACATAATAACTGGTGAAAACATTGTTTGAAAAATTTGTCTTGCTGCATCCTTTGCACCAAGACGATTATTTTGATCATCACGTAGAACGCGTAAACAAACGACCAATAAAGGAACTGCAAGCGAAGTAACAAAGAGTGGTATGACCTATATGGATTGTATTAAGGTAAATATTGTTGTTTGAATAAACCTATTAATTAAATAAATAAAAGTAAAGTTTAATATTTACCTCAGTTGACCATAGAAGACTCGAAAATATCAATATTGCAAAGCAATATCTTTGCTCTTCTCTCTTGAAAAAAGACGCATCCAATAGGAATACGAAAACCCCAACGCATATTAACAAAATGATCACATTCCTCCAGAAAGTGCTTGACACACTTAGCATACCAAAAGGCGTTGAG